AAACCTGCTTGGTGTCGAGTCAAGTTACGATAAAAACTACGAACAATTATTCTCCGGAAGCTTTTGGTCACCGAGGCCGCTTCCAACGTGGAAGCTCCCCATCACCTTCCGTACTCCGAGACTGCCGCCACTGCGGATGCTCGCTACCGATTCACGGAAGAAGAGATACATGGAAATCAGGAGTGATATTCTCTACAACTACTACTAAAGGTAGGACAGATATTATTGCTGCATGCACTCGAATTTAGAAAACCGCAAATGTGCAGGGAATGACTCGAAAGACCGCGAAAATCGAAAACTTCCCCTGCCGCAATTTATACGCATCGCGTAAGTCTTTGTCATTGCATTATTGAATTCGGTTACGGGTTGTTCGATATTGCCAGTGATTATAACGACGCAAGACTCTTGTGCCATCAGTGCAAGGTAGACTGTGAACGAATTCATGCTGAACAACAATTTTAATTGGTACTAAGACATTCATCCATATCGGAAATAATCCACCGCCGCGAACGTGCGAGCACTGCCCGACTGAATTGTCCATTTGTCGCGAACTAAACAATTGCGGCGCATGCGTAGACGCCTTCATTGCCTTTCTAAACCATTTACGAGAAGAAAATCAAACGTTTGAATCATTACCAAATCCGACAATTATAGACGTCGATAACAGCATCGCATGAAATTATTTTCTCCAGAAGTCTTAGTTTCTTCCTAAATAATTTACATAGACAAAATACTCGACGAGACAACTAAAGTCCCCCGATTAAACCAACAGGATCTTTGCCCCTCGAGATCTCTATCATTTACTCATTAATTAAAATCGCTGCAAAATTTTAATCCAGAACCTTTGCCGCTCGAGATTCCTTACCATACCCAAAATAAAAATTTTTATACGTAATTTCCCCCATACAGCTCGGTATGAATATTGTTCGATAGAATCGAATCAAATTTCGCCCGGACGTAAATACGTTGCGTCATTCGTGACAGTAGTCAAACCATTTTTAGAATAACTTCTCGTTTTTTGCTGGATGGCCTTCTATGTTGACGAACGGTGTAGTCCTTCCCAGTCTACATTGTATGGCGGGACAGGAAACAGTTACTTCTATAAACAAACCACTTAACTTTTATGACAATGGAATGGAAAAAGAATAAGTCACCCCCAGGGACTCGGATACCTGGGGAACGGCAGGAGTGGATTAACCCGGTCCCATTACTCGGTCGTCATCTAGCAACGGGCATGCGATTGAAAAGGGTCCTGAGTCCTGACATATCTTCTCAGAAGGATCGTGACTCCGGTAGGTCTGTTCTTGCCTCCGGAGCCCCGTCAATTTATGGTGGGACCTTGGAAGCTGCAATTGATCTGACGAAAGAGGCTGCGGGCCCAACGATTAGATCTGTGGAGCAGATTAATCCACTTTTTGGCAATCTTGAACTGGCAAGCAGTTCATTACAAGCTAGTCTCTGATCTTGACGTAATTCTACATGGAGAACGTATCTTAATGACTGAGGCTGATAGAGCGTCTTCGTCGCATGGTACAACTGATGTTGCTGCTGGTAGCTCTATCGTAATTGAAGATTCAGAGGATGAGGGATCCCGATCCCAGAGATCTCAAACATATCTCAGTATTAGATATTCAATTGGTCGTGCTCTTTTTCTTAAGAGACCTAGAAAAAGGAAGATTCGATCACCTCC